ACTTGGGAGTTACTTACGATGCTCCAGAGTTCACAATACAGTTGCCTGTTTCACAGCAACAGTTCCTATCGTCATCATGGTTCATGCCCAGGTTGCGGCCAGGTTCATGAGCGACAATGGACGCAAACCAAAAGAAGAATGAGGATTTGGTTTGCCACCTGAGATGTTAGCGGGGGGTAGGGAGGGCGAAAACATTCTCAGTGCCAGCCAAGAGATTTTCTTCCCAAATGAATCTCAGCATTTTTAGATTGAAAGTCTTCAAAGCCACATAGTCTATCTCCAAAATGGGGGGAAATGTCCCCACTCCATTCACACTGAATGGACACAGAGAGAAGAAGAAGAAGAAAGGGATTCAGGAACGTCCGACCTTGGCAACTTTAAGACTTTAAGCATGGCTGGCTGGGGAATTCTGGGAATTGAAGCCCACCCAGTCTTAAAAGTTGTCAAGGTCTCGATGAGAGAGGGCGACAGGATGTTGCAAAGGGAATCGGCCTACGGTACAGGTAGTCCTCAACTTAAACCATTTGGTTCGTGACCGTTCAAAGTTATAACAGCACTGGGGGGAAAAAAGGGACTTACAACCGGTCCTCCCACTTACAACGGTGGCAGCCTCTCCATGGACACAGAAGCAAAAAGTGGACCTTTGGCCACTGGCAACTATTTAGGACAACGAGGGGAAGCCAGTTTCACTTAACAACCGAATTCACTGCAGTAATTTATTTAACAACCCTGTCCCCAAAAAACTAAAAAAATGGTCCTAAAATTGGCCACGGCTCACTTAACAACGGAAATTCTGGTCCCAACTGTGGTGGTAAGCCGTGGACTACCTGTGGGGCTTTTGTGCAGACAGAGGGTGTGGCCGCCTTGCCCAGAAGAGGGGGTGCCCGGATCTTACAGAACAAGCTGGGCGCTGTCGTGCCGCCGGCGTGGAACCAGGTTCTGCTCTCTCCACTGCACGAATTTGGCAAGGACATCTCCGGCGCTTCCTTCGATCCGGATCTTATTCTCAGAGGTCCAGATCTCCAGGCCGACCAACACAATGCGGATGTTCAGCACAAGGTACATCTGCAAGTAGCACAGATCAGGGTGGAACAGAGGACATAATGGAGGCGGGTCTATGACAATCCGCCCGCCACGGGACAACTTGTTGCGGGACAAGACTTACACTAATATCAAAGAAATGGTGGACTAGAATCATTAGAGAAAGGATGCAAAAGGAGGGAGGGAATGAAATGTGAACGCAGAGAAGAGCAACAAAGACGATTAAGGGACTGGAGGCTAAAACATGAAGTTGCAGGAATCGGGTATGTCCCTAGTATGGTGAGAAAAAGGACTGATAGCAGTGTTCCAATATCTCAGGGGCTGCCCCAAAGAAGAGGGAGTCAAGCTATTCTATTTCCTTATATTTAATCCAGGTCTAAGTACTACAACTTATACTAGCTCTCATTTCTGGCCTTAGTTCCTGTGCAGAGAAGAGCAACAAAGATGATTAGGGGATTGGAGGCTAAAACATATGAGGAACGGTTGCTGGAATTGGGTATGTCTAGTTTAACGAAGAGAAGGATGAGGGGGGACATGATAGCAGTGTTCCAGTATCTCAGGGGCTGCCCCAAAGAAGAGGGAGTCAAGCTATTCTCCAAAGCACTTGAAGGCAGGCCAAGAAGCAACAGATGGAAACTAATCAAGGAGAGAAGCAACCTAGAACTAAGGAGAAATTTCCTGACAGTTAGAACGATTAACCAGTGGAACTACCTGCCTCCAGAAGCGGTGAATGCTCCAACACTGGAAGTTTTTAAGAAGACACTGGACAACCATTTGTTGAAATGGTATACATGCCTTCTAATAATTATTTCAGAGGCTCTTTATAAGTCTACTAATATAAAAGGGTTAGGCTGGAGCACAATCAGAGAGGGCCTTACCAGAATCAGGCCAATATCGCATGTGTTTTCTTCTTTAAATGTATCACATTCTATGTCCCACATTTACTGAACGGCATTCGATTTCTTTTTGGATTGCTATTTGTACTCTGCAGTGGCCTCAACTGATCAGTAGGCAGGGTAATGACTAGGTACTTTTATAAATATTTTAACAGATTTTAAAAAATTTTCCTCCACACATTATTAGAGCGGGACGCATTAAAAATGAACGCTGCAGAAGAACGGCAGAAAATAAACATTGCAGCAGAGAGAAAAACCAGGGAGACAATCCATTTAATTTCCCTATTGGAAAAAAAAGAATATTTTTGCTTTGTCCTGAAAACAAGCAGCCCTGTGGAGTGGGAGGCACTTTATCAAAGTGAAAATCAAAGCATCAGAGTTTATGGGCTTCACTTATGTTGGTCTATTATTTTACAGGTAATCCTTGACTTACAACCATTATTTTAGCCACCGTTCAAAGTTACGACGGTGCTGAAAAAAAGGGACGTGCAATCAATCCTCACACTTCTGGCCACTGCAGCATCCCCACGGTCATATGATCAAAATTTGGGCACTTGTCATTGTAATTACGATGGTTGCAGAATTCGGGGGTCCATGGTCGCCATCTGCAACCTTCGCAGGGGGCTTCCAACAAGCAAATGGGGGAAGCCGGAGTCACTAAGCAACCATGGGATTCACTGAACGACGGTAGCAAAAAATTCAGTTGTGACTCATTTAGTAACTGCAATTCTCAGCAACAGACGTTCTGGTCCCAGTTATGATCATAAGTCAAGGATTGCCTCTCTTATCATTCAGCATTATTTTCAGTACAAAATGCATTTGTCTTGGGAACAGCATTCGACAGATTTGACATTCTGTGCATTTGCCAGAAAATTCTTCCACTTACATTATCCAGGAGGTTTGCCAGCTGCACCATCTCTTCTCTGACTGCAGTTTTATTCTGGCCTAGCAAATAATACTGTGAGGAAAAAAAGGGGGGAGGGAGGAAAAAGGATCATGTCAGCCCAGGGATCTCTCAAATGCATTAACACTTTGGCAGTATCGCAAACCAAATGCTTTTAGGTTAGCCAGCAACTGCGTTGGGGACCCAGAGGCTCAATGCAACCTAATTTATGACAATGAAAACTGTATAAAAATAACTGGATGGATGGATGGATAGATGGATAGGTAGGTAGGTAGGTAGAGGTAAGTAGGTAGGTAGGAAGATAGACAGGCAGGCAGGGAGACAGACAGACTGACAGATATAGACAGGTAGAGAGATATAGATATATAGATATAGACGTAGATGTAGATATATGGATGGATGGATGGATGGATGGATGGATGGATGGATGGATGGATAGATAGATAGATAGATAGATAGATAGATAGATAGATAGATAGATAGATAGATAGATAGATAGATAGATAGATAGATAGATAGATAGATAGATAGATAGATAGATAGATAGATAGAAGTAAGTAGGTAGGTAGGAAGACAGACAGGCAGGCAGGCAGACTGACAGATAGATATAGACAGAGAGACAGATAGATATAGACAGGTAGAGAGATATCTATATAGATATATAGATATAGATGTAGATGTAGATATATTGATGGATGGATGGATGGATGGATGGATGGATGGATGGATGGATGGATGGACAGATGGACAGATGGATAGACAGCCACAAGTATCATACCCTTTCTTTGTCTACAACGATGAAAAGCTCCACGTATCTCGTCTGTTGAAGAACGCTTCTTTTCCTCTACCAAAAAGAAGAAAGAAACCAGAGGGGTTCATAATAAACTAACATTTCTGTCCTGATGCTTAACTTCAAAACAGAGCGATGTCATACTACCTTACTTACTGCTTTAACACTGCTACGTCAGATAAGAATTTCTAATATGACATTTAAACCCTGGACCGTTAGTGAGTCAGATTCTTGTAGAGAGCTTAAGCATAAGCAATAAATCTTTATACTCATTTGACCTACAGGAATCTCCTAATTTCACCGGCACTTGACATCTATACCAATAAAGGAGAATATCTGTATCTCAGGGTTGAAATGAAGGGTCCTCGTTGCTCTCTGAACTTGGTTGGTTTCTTGGCAGATGTTACATGATCCAACTAGGTAACATCTTCAGTGCTAGAAGGGAGTGGGGTTTGCAGGGAGGAGGAGGAGGAGGAGGAGGAGGAGGAGAACTGTGGGGTCCTTGGTGAAAAGTCTGCAAGAAAACAAGCAAGCTTAGAGAGCTTGACATCTGTAGTCCAAAATCACCTAGATGGCTTTCGTGCCTAACGTGCATATTGTGCAAGGTGCTTTCAAGGTATTATCTTCTTATACAAGAAGGTCTAATGTATTTTTCTTTTTCTCTTAAATTTAACAAAGGGGGATTTTTAAAAAAATGGCAGCCATTGCTGCAAATAGCACACTGTAAACAACGAAAGCTTTCCGAAGGGCACCTACTCTCTCCATTAGAGAAACGTCTGAGTGGGGCTGAGCATCTGCAGTTTCCCACTTTCCATCGAGATGAGGGACGCCGCAGCTCCTGGGCAGTTTCTTCACGTTTTCCATCCGGTAAACAACGTGGCGAGAAGTTGAGTCGATGGGCTCAATGCCGTAGGCGGTGTTCTGGATCTGCACCAGCCCCCTGGCAACGACAGCATCTTAGACATCAACCTAATTCTCCAAAGGATAGGGATGACTCTCAAAGAAGCTATGGAACATCATACTTAGTCGTTAAAAAACACAGAAATTAGGACTCAAATGTACAGAAATAAGAGGCATTTGAGTCCTAATTTCTGTGTTTTTTAACGACTAAGTAGGGAAGGGAAGAGAAGAAGAGAGGAGATAGGGAGAGGAGAGGAGAGGAGAAGAGAGGGGTAGAAGAGAAGATAGGAGGAGGAGAGGAGAGGAGAGGAGAGGAAAGGAGAAGAGAAGACAGGAAGAGGAGAGGGAGGAGGGAGAGAAGAGAAGATAGGAGGAGGAGAGGAGAGGAGAGGAGAGGAGAAGATAGAAAGAGGAGAGGGAGAGAAGAGAAGATAGGAGGAGAGGAGAGGAGAGGAGATAGGAGGAGGAGAGGAGATAGGAGGAGGAGAGGAGAGGAGAGGAGCAGATGGGAGGAGGGGAAGAGGGGAGGGGAGAGAAGGGAAGGAGATGAAAGGGGAGGGGAGGGGAAAGGGGGAGAGAGGAGGAAAGGGAAGAAGAAGGAAGACTTCTGGACCGATGCTTGTCAAAAGTTACCTGAGCCCGAAGCAGGTGCTGAGGGCGACTGTAGAATCTGAGATTCCTTCCACATATCCCTGGTAGTGGCAGTGATTCTAAACGGAGGAAGAATTTAAAAAAAGAAACTGAGCAGAAGGCCACATTAGCAGTTTAACCCTGATACCAAGAGCCCTTGGCGATGGCCCTGAAGGAACATTCAGAAGCTGTGGAGGAACTATGGCCCTTGTATGACTTGGGGACTTCAACTCCCAGAATTCCTGAGCCAGCCGTGCTCCAAGGCACCTGAAGGCAGGGCAAGGATGGAAACTAATCGAGGAGAGAAGCAACCTTAGAACTAAGGAGAAATTTCCTGATACTGAGAACAATTAATCAATGGAACGATTTGCCTCCAGAAGTTGAGGGTGCTCCATCTCTGAAGGTTTTTTTAAAAAAAGAGATTGGACAGCCATTTGTCTGAAATGGTATCACTTGCTGGGTTCACATTCCTGCTAAGCTCCAGACGTGCTTTACAGACTGCAGAGATGGATTTTGCAGGAAAATTATGAATTTCCTAGCCAGCTGGTCAGCCTGGCCCTGTTAAAAGCCTGAACATGTATTCTTTTTTCTTTCTTTCTTTTTTAGATAGATAAAGCTTGCAAAGGGGCCCTATAGTAAGAGGAATAAGATAGATAAGTAGTATAATACTTTTAGAATATAGGGAATGTTAAAACATTGAGAGGGTCTATTGAAATGAAAAGTTTGGATATTTAAAGGTAATGAATGTTGAGAAAATTATGACTGATAAGAGCGGTGAGGGGAATCTAAGCTTCAATAAGAACCTTGAAAACTAATCTGTGAATTGATGTTGGCTTGTGTCTACTGATTTATTTCACTTATTTCTGCCCACTTTTTTCCAAGTTCCAAATGGAGCTGATCGAAGATTATTCGGAGCATTGTGTTGCTTCTGCTCCTGAACTACACAAGGCATTGTAATCCCTAGACTGGAGGGTTAAACTGCATGGATGCTTAAACGGATTATAAACTATATTTGACACAAAGTACGGCTTAGCGTGTAGTACACACAAATATTTGTAGTACATGTTAACTTAATAAGATGACTTTTATAAATGCAATGGAAACACAAGCTGATTAAAAAACATGTTATGTGTTGATGTTACTGTTATATGCATAAGTGCTAAAAAAAGGTTTACATTCAACTTGGTATATACTGAAAATATTAAGAATTATATTGGTTTAACGTAGACAAAAGGAGAATATTACTGGTGGAAGAGAGGATCAAGAAATATATTACCAACCAACATAGTGATTAATTGTGAAAATTAATTATCATTGATTGTTTAAAACATATGAGCCCAGACAACACACTGTGCACGAAGCACTAAAGATTGTTACTGTAAAAAAATCAATGAAATATATTTATAAATAAATAAATAAAAGCCTGAACAAGATTGAGTCACAGTCTCCACGCACCAGGTGTCCCACAGCCTGCCGTGCAGCACCGAAGGACAAAAAGTTAGAGAAAAACCAAAAAAACCATGTTGCCGGCTAGCTCCTGAGACATCAACACATTTAACTCCGTCCATTTAATCATTTGCCAGCAGGTGAATTACACTTGTGGAATTTGCTCCTACACAAGTCTTGGGTGAGGTTCCTGGAACAGCGCCAGGAATTGGCAGTGTTGTTGCTAGGGTGATCAAGAAGGGGAATTTATTACAGATAAAGAACCCAAAATCATAATCCTTGGATTCAATTCATTGAATTAATCTGAAACTCGAATTCGTTAAATCAACACTGAGGTTTTCTCCCTTTCTTCCCACTTCTTCTTTGTCCTGGCCTACCAAGACAGGTAAGTCAACTTATGACCCACAATTGGCACCAGAATTTCTGAATGACTAAGCAAGACGCTTGTTAAGTGAGACTTGTCCAATTTTGTGACCTGTTTTGGCGCTGCGATATTCCAGTGCACCCTTAAATAAATGCAAGAGTATCAAAATCATCCCCCTGTATTTCTTTTATAGTCTCTACTAAGGCATTTCTTAAGTCTCTCTTCACCAACTGAAAGAGAAGTAGAAGAAGGAGGGGAAAAAACCTCTCTCTTTGCACACATATGCGCACACACTCCACGCCTCTCCCCACACACCGAAAGGGGGGCTACAAAGAAGCCCCCCAACCTTCCTCTGACCTCATCACCAAGGCTTGCAGACCACCTTTCTCCTCAGCCAGAGCAAATCCTGTCAAAATATTTTTTTTCTTCTTCTTATCAACCCTCAGAGAAAAATAAAACGTACCTGAAGATTTGGAGTTTCTGTTTGCAGATCTCCACCTTTATTGTAGGTGTAAATTGTGAAGTCTTGGGACACCAGATCTCTAAAAGGATGGAAGTTGGGCGGGGGGGGGGGGGAACACATGAATGCCAAACAGAAAATGCTTTTTAAAAAAAAATCAAAGTAAGAGAAACCTGATTCAAAGGATAGCAACTGAGCAAAACCTCAGCAACTAAACCTTTGGCTTTTTCTACCACCTGTAACTTTTTACATAAAGAACACCGTGGGAGAAGGATTGAGGAGGGGGGGGGGAGGAAGCAAAGCTTAGGAACAAGGTGAGAAAAGCTGCACTTGGATGGCCTATCGAAAGATTCCTTTAAAATATTTCTATTTAAAAATATTGAAAGTA